AGAGCCAACTCTCATCCATCATGTCCGGCACGTCAGAGGGTTTCTCAAGAATATTACATATGACGCCATGTGAATCGGGCTCTTGAATGGTGGGAGGGACATCTTCAACGATGACAGTGGCCTCTTGAACGGTGGGAGGGGACTCTCGAAGAATGATAGGGGCCTCTTCAACGATAGGAGTGGACTCTTGAGGGATGATAGGCGAGTCGGGCTTCTTCTTGCGGTGTCTTCGCACTATTGGGGTGTACGGAGACTTAATAGCACGTGCATGCCGTCTGATGCGTGAACTCTGTCGTGCAAGAAAAACCCGACATAAAGCATCCACCTTATCGGGCCGCTAAATAATTAAATACAAAAATCAGTAAATAAACAGACATGATATTTAAACAGTGAAAATAAAGACAAATATGTTTCAAACTTGCATTGAATTCACCCAAGTCATTATTCTATCATAGTTCACAAAATGCATCAGATAACAAAGGCAAATATGTTTCAAACTTGCAACACTGTCAACTTAGTATTTGTCTTTGTCTATTAGTTGAAGTAATGCAATTCATTCAAGTTTCAATTTGCAGAAGAAGAATAGTTTCTGGAACTTAAAATTGCAACGTGAAAAATGACTATCGCAACGCGAAATGAAAATCGCAACGAGTGAATCGCAATGCGAAATGAAAATCGCAACGCGATTATAGTTTAGCGTTGCGATTTTTGGTTTCGCGTTGCGATTTTGTCGTTGTGATTTTCATTTCACGTTGCGATTCTCTCGTTGCGATTTTCGTTTCGCGTTGCGATTTTCATTCTCTCGTTGCGATTTTTATTTCAACCAAAAGACAAAATAGTGTTGCTAAAATATAGTTTCAAGAATAAACTATTTCTTCTTCTTCTGCAAATTGAAACTTGAATGGATTGCATTACTTTAACCAAAAGACAAAACAAAGACAAATACTAACTTCAGAGTATTAAAGAATACACATTTTAGCAGAATTGGCAGCAAACGAACAAATTTACTTTTAACCAAAAGACAAAACAAAGACAAATACTAATTTCACAGTGTTAAAGAATACACAGTTTAGCAGAATTGGCAGTAACCGAACAAATTTACTTTCAACCAAAAGACAAAACAAAGACAAATTCTAACTTCACAGTGTTAAAGAATACACAGTTTAGCAGAATTGGCAGCAACCGAATAAATTTAATTCAACCAAAAGACAAAACAAAAGACAAATACTAACTTCACAGTGTTAATAAACAGTTTAGCAGTATTGGCAGCAACCGAATAAATTTACTAAGCAATCTAAGTGAAATGGTTAATCTAAGTGAAATTACGAGTAAATTTATCATCAAGTTAAATATGGAAAATCTTAAACTTACCTCATTGCGTAGAGTATGAACCTCATTCTACAACGATACTACCATCTCACATAGAGCGGCAACCTCACCATGTAAAGTAGACACCTCCACACGCCACGCACCATCGTTATCACGTAGAGTACCGATCTCCTCACGCAAGGCATTGACCTCATCACGTAACTCCCTTGACTCATCCCGTGGAGGTGGAGGTGGAGAACAGGGAGATAGAAGTCGTGGCATCTTTTTCGGTCGCCTATCATGAGGTGATGGTGGAGAAGAGGCTCGATGATGTGACGGGATAGGTGATGGCTCTCGTTGTAGAGGTGTATAGTCGGGTCGATCAGGTGATGGCTCTGGGTGAGGTGATGGCTCTCAAAGTGGAGGAAGTGGAGGCTGCTCATCATTCGTGCCATCAAGAAAACGCTGACTAGCTTGCCACCAATCAGTGGCAAGCTCAGCCTCTGTGGGTGTCAGTCTCATTAATGGAGTGTTGGCCTCCTAAAAATATAAAAACTCAAACAAAGTTAAACGTCTACTATTAATAACTTGTTTATATATGATAGTATTTGTGTTAACTTACATTATTTATTGTCGCATATGGTATTAAGTCTTCCCAATCCAACAGACGTTTCCTCTTCCAGGAATAGCCCTAGGAATATCATTTGAAGTTTTTAATGCATATGTCCGCATGCTGGGGAAAGCCTCGAATATCCAAATCTACAAACAATATAATAACAAACATTAGTAATTGTTAAATAATTAATTATAATTTTGAAAACATTATATAGAAATTCTTACCTTAAAGGCCCAAACAAAGCCTGACAAAGTGTATTTCGACCCATCGCCACGCAAACTTTTGCGGTCATCAAAGGCAGACGACAACTTAGTCCAGGTAGATTTCCATATATACGATCCCCACAGAAACAGATTCCATGCATTTAGGTCCTCTACCAATAATATTAGCTCCTGAGGAATAGGTTGTCTGGCCTCTCTGCCTAAAAAGCCGGTATACAAAAGTAGTAGAAGGCATACTCGGACAACATCGACGTCATTCATCCGAGTAAAACCATCTTTCTTATTAAACAATTTCTTCAGGTCGTCGATGTGTAAGTTCGACTTCTCTATTGACTCATCAGGAAAAACCCTGGATAACCATGATGGGCGGGTGATATGACGAGTGTACTGGCCTACATCATCGTGTCTGAATTGTAGACCATTGATTAAGCATAACTCCTTCCGCCCAAAACAAGTATACGCCGGTGGAAAATGAAACCATATCTCTTCCTCACCACGTTGTATACTATCGGGTAGATCGCTAGTCATGGTCTGAAGCCACAAATGGGTCAAATTAACATCTCCACTTGGATACTGTACTCTCAGCCATGGCCCGAAGCAGGTTTCCTCAAACAATTTTCTTTGTGCAGGTGAAAGCTTCGAAGCAATTGTAGTGGCTAGGCTAACTTTATTCCTTAATGTCAATGAAGCCGAAAAAAATTTCTACAAAAACAATAAACATACCAAGTAAGATATACCACAAACTACACTGTGAAGATATACCAAAAACAATAAACATAAATAGTAGTTTATTCTTAAAACTAAAATTTGCAACACTGTTTTGTCTCTTGGTTGAAATGAAAATCGCAACGAGAGAATAAAAATTGCAACGCGGAAATGACTATCGCAACGAGAGAATCGCAACGCGAAATTAAAATCGCAACGAGAGAATCGCAACGCGAAATGAAAATCGCAATGCGATTTTGGTTTTGCGATTTTCATTTCGCGTTGCGATTCTCTCGTTGCGATTTTCATTTCTCTCGTTGCGATAGTCATTTTCGTGTTGCGATTGTCATTTTCATGTTGCGATTTTAAGTTTAGAAACTATTCTTCTTCTGCATTACTTCAACCAAAAGACAAAACAAAGACAAATAATAACTTCACAGGGTTAAAGACTAAACAGTTTAGCAGTATTGGCAGCAATCGAATGAATTTAATAAGAAATCTAAGTGAAATGGTTAATATATTATTGAAATTACCAGTAAACTTATCATCAATTTCAATATGAAAAACCTAAAATAATGCAAAAATTTCAAAATAAAAATAATTAAAAAAACTAACCCTCGGAGGTTGATTTTCCATTTCTGAATGATTGTGAGGGATTTCTGACCGTGAATGGTTGTGAGGGATTTCGTCGGCGATGGGGACGGAAATCTTCGGAGATGGGGACGGATTTCGTTGTAGAGAGTGAGAGATGGAGATGAGACTGGGTTGTGATTTTAGGTTTTAGGTTATGAGTTGCGATTACGGGATATACTGTGGACGGTTCAGTTTCTGATATATTAAGAAATTCGTGTTTGGAATTTGAAAAAAAAATATGCGTTAATACGAATGTCGCTATGTAAATCGCATTGCGATAGTCAGATTCGCATTGCGATTTACGTATTCGCATTGCGATTTTCCTAATTCGCATTGCGATTTACGTAATCGCGTTGCGATTTACGTATTCGCATTGCGAATTAGGAAAATCGCAACGCGAATTTGGGAAATCGCAATGCGATAGTCAGAATCGCGTTGTGAATCTGGAAACTGATTTGCGATACCGGAGATCGCGTTGCGAATTATCGATCGCATTGCGATTTAGTTGGTCATTTTGGCGAATCAAAAAAAAGTTGGTTAAAATCGTATATTATAAGGCATTTTTGATCACTGAGGTTATTTTCTCTTTTTAAATTATAATATATTTTAAATTTTTTATATATTTTTATTGACAATTTATTTTCTCCTAATATTTTTACTCACAATTATATAACACTATTTTGTTGAGTCTCTCAAATATTAAAAATTATAAAATTATCTCTTTGATTATAGGATGTTACTTTGTTAAATTCTTCAACTATTAAAAGTTATATAATGATCACTCGATCATTCATATATTTTAAACTCATCATTTTCTGTTAAAAAATTGATGACCGTCTGAGTTAGATATTAACTTGATAATAGAGATATGATAAAATTTGATCTCATAATTAATTGAATTATATAATTATTTGAGATTCTAATATCATATATTATTATATCTCAATCAACAGTTTAAGGTTTAATTTAAACGACAATTAACTTTTTAACATAAATAGTTAAATGATTATTTTATAATTTTTAATAATTAAAAGATTTAATAAAATAAATTCCTATAATCAAAAATAAAAATATTTTGTAAATTGTACAACAATAACAACAAAACCTATTCCCATATGCAATGGGGTAAGGGGAGGTAGGGTAGTAGGTTGTCCCAATGTCAGAATTGAGACAAACTTTCGTGGAAGACCTCCGACAATCAAAAAATTAAAAATAAATATAAAATATAATGTATATATAAATAAATAAATAATTAAATAATCTTCATATATAATCTTTAAATACTCATCTATAATGAGAAATAATCCCTGCAAATACATTTATATACGTTACTCGTATTTTTGTTAAACTAATGAATCTCGAAAACTGTAGCCACGTGAAGTGAAGAACAGTTGGTCAAATCTGAACTGATAAAGCAAGCTTGAAGTTGCAGCAGCTGAGCGCGGCACGTTTCCAAACAGCCAAAATAATTTCCCCATCTAGCGGTTCACCTCCTCCCAATTGACCAAGTTATGAAGATGGCTACTTCTCTTGTACAGAGTCGACTCTTCCTCATCCTCTTCCTCACTTACCTTGCAGCCGTGTCATCAGCTACTACTACCACAACAACCCTAAAATGCCACTCTGGGTTTCTCTACTCTAAAACCCGGCGATTTGACCAAACTGACACATATTTAACGAATATTTACCTTTTTAGTACCGTTTAATATATATTTTCCGAAGTGGCACCCTTTCGGCTGAGCTGGCGAAAGGCGCTTCCCCAGGGACACGCTCTACCCGTGTTTTCGTTGAGTTGAATGCCACATGTGGAAGGCGCATCCCCGGGGACTTTCGCCAGCTCAACTGCCACGTATTTTGTTTAATAATAAATATTTTATTTTTATTGTTATTATAAATTAGTAATATATTATGTAAAATGTTTCGATTATAATGTAAGAATTATCAAATTTATTTTGTTAATGTGTGTTAATGGTGGAGTGAATTATCTACATTAATATGATAGAACAATATATGAAAACCAGTTTTGATTTTATTGTAGTTATAGGAAAAATATATTAAATTATAATATAACACATATGATTATATTATTATTTTTGATTTTGATTATCGATCTATTAATTTTATCAGTTAATTATTTAAATGTTATCAATCTAGTCATCTCTTATCAATATTTAACGAAAATATTGATGCATAAGTTAATAAATTAGAATAATTACATATTTAATCTTCAAGACTTATATATTTTATGAAATTAGTCTTATTGAAAATTTAATTTAATAAATTTAATCCTCCAATCAGAACATGAAATGTGTCATCGTATACATAAATTTTTTAATAACTTTTAATTTGTTTAATTTAATATTTTTCTCTACTTAGAAGGTGGAATTATTATTATATTTTAAAAATTTTTATAACTAATAATATTAATTATTATATTAAATAAATATATTAAAAATATTTATGTATTTAAAAGTTAAAAAAAATTATTTAGGTGTACATACATTGACAAATTATATAAATGCAATAACATTAAATTATTAGAAACAAAAACATTCATTTAAATACAATATTAATTACATAAGAGTTAACGGTTATATGATGATAACAGAGCTGGACATTTTTTTCTATTGTGCCCGATGTTTCTACAATGCCCACATCGTTTTTGTTCTGTTGACTTCTACCGAATATCCATATCACAATGTATTCTAGTAAATATTGGACGACCTGAGTCCCTCAATAGCAATAGATCTGGTACAATTGTAAGCCAAGTTTGAATCTCATTTGGGTCTCTTTCATTTCCTATGGGCGGAAACTCAAATTCATATACCTTGAATACTTGTGAAAGTTGGTATACGGGATCAACATAATTTTTGTAGTCCAAATGCGAATGTGAGCAAGCTGCAATGACATAAGAGCATGGATATTTGAGTGCTTGAAAGAAACCACAATCGCACCACCTCTCTTGCAGATTAACTCTGAAAGAGTTAGCTCCAATCAACATAATTTCGGTTACACGAAATAATTCACGGGTGCGAGAAAAATTTGTAACTAACATCTCATTTGATGCAGCCATTTTTTTCTGTAAATCAACTACTAGTCTTGGGTGGTAAATATGGCCGTTTTACATCCAAGTAAGAGCTTGTCCACCGAGCAAAGAGTTGACCCAAACGAAAATAAGTCGTTTTAACCAACGCCGTGACTGGTAAATGACGCGCCCCCTTTAAGGTTGAATTTATTGCTTCAGCCAAGTTTGTTGTCATATGACCATAGCGATAGCCCCCGTCATATGCATTTGTCCACATTTCTTTACTGATGTCCATAATGTACTCGCACCCCTTCTTATTTTTGCCAAACAGCTCTTGTAGCATCGACTCAAACCTTTGAGGTAAGAGTTCGTAACCTAAGCCATTAGGAATATGTAATAATTAATATGAAGTATAAATAAGTAATAAGAAATTGATAGAAAAGTTGGGAAAAAGTAACATACCCATCCGCACGACTAACTGACGTTCATCGTTCTTCTTGTATTTTCCGTAATAGTTTGCAGCAATATGACAGACACAATAACGATGTTGAACATGTGGAGGTCTATACATTGTACCCAAAGAGTCCATTGCTGCTTTTATCCCGGCTCCTCGGTCTGAAATAATGCATACTCGTTCCCTGGTGACAACATGTAAACGTAAATTTTTAAAGAAAAAAGCCCAAGACTCAGTGTCTTCTCCTTGAACGAGGGCAAACGCAACAGGAAGAATATTGTGGTTTTCATTTTGGACCACAACCAATAATAAAACTTGCTTGTATTTCCCATACAAGAAAGTACCATCAATTGGACAACTGGTTTACAGTACTTGACTGCATTAATACACTGAGGTTAAGTCCAAAAGACACGGTAAAATTGGCAGTGATCGCGAACCATTCGATCATTCACGTAATGATGTTGAGTTTCAAACTCAACAATTGTCCCGGGATTAAGTCTTTGCACAACATGAAACCAACTGGGCAGCTCATTGTAAGAGGAATCCCATTCGCCATGAAGTTTGCAAATTGCATTATGTTTTGCCAACCACGCTTTTTTATATGAGACAATGTACCCATATTGTGACTGTATAGCAGAAATCAACATTGCAACAACTATATGAGAGCTTTGCTTCACAATGGGCATGATTGCTTGGCAAATAATGTTGGAGTCCAAGTTGGGATGATCATGGTTTATACCTGTTGCACAACATGTATGAGGACCGTTGTATCTGGTTAGTTCCTATAAGTTGTTCTTCCTCTTTGATACACGGACCATCCATTGACATCCGTTGTCACGTTGGACGCAGTAGCAGACATATTTCTCCATGTTAGATCGATCAACTCGGGACTTATCTGAGTTATGAATATTGTAACTCTTTATTGCCATCATTGCTTCCTCCTTTGATGCGAACTCCATTCCAATATGTAAATTACCGTCATTGACTAATGATTGAAGTCCATAGTTTCCAACATCAGGAAGATCTGGAAATTCAGGTTCATACATTGCATCATAATCAGCTTCATACATATGTGCAGAAAGTTCGGCTGGTGTTGTATTTATCAGAACGTCATCCTCGTCATCATCAGAATATACGTTAAACTGTGGTGAGTCAGGTCAACGAATAATCCCGTTTTAGCACCATCTGCACTGGCTCCCGAAGAGGTTCTTCTGGTGGAAATGAGGGTTCCTCCGATAATCCAATGTTGAGGTCAAATAAGTTCCCGCTTGCGTGTCCTCCCCTTGAACTTGAGGCCATTGTATCATGTGGGATATGAATAGACTGCCGTTTTCTTATAATTCCTCGCCCGACACATTTCTCTAAAGAGAAATGCCAAAACTGCAACGCCCCAACTATATCTTCCAGCTTCATCAAAATCGATCAGATGCCGCAACCACATACAATGCATCTGGTTGCGAGATTTGTCGGGCATCAATATTCCTCCAATTATTCGTAGAATATATGCCCGAGCACATGCCTTTGCTTGATCCTCTGAAGCATTTTCATTTAAAACCTCAAAATTAGCTTTCAACCAAGATAAAGCTATTCTACCTTCATTAAACTCTGGTGGAGCAGCTCCAAGATAATCAATGCACATTGACTACCAATCACCATCCGCCATACCACACATCATATTTCCGTCGACGGGAAGCCCCAGATGCATAGAGACATCCTCCAATGTAATTGTGGCCTCTCCACATGGAAGGTGAAAAGTGTGTGTCTCGGGCCTCCACCTTTCAACCAGTGCAGAAATTAGGACAGGTTCGAGTTTGCAACCGCCAATAATTGTTGCAATATACCCGAACCCGGCAGAAGCCAAATATGGCAAAATACGTTCCGGTGTCGGTATACGTGGCTTTTTTAATAAAAGTCTCTAAAATACGATCAATATCATAAATAATATACATTATAAAAAATAAAATTAATATAAATTCATAATAACTTTAAAATAAAAATAAATTTAAATATTAACATTAATTATAAAAAATATTACCATATCGCTAAAATGTCTGAAGATATGATCAATATCCAATCGCAACAGCATTTCGTTTTCCATTATAACTGTAGACAAAACAATATAATTAGAACAAAAAAAATTAATAATTCTAAATAAATAATAATTATATAAATATTAAAAAAATAATATTTACATAAATATATTAATATAAAATATAATAACTATTTAAAAAAAATACTAACATAAAAATAAATTTCTTACCACTAATAACAAATTTAAAACTCAAATAGTTGGAGAATTTGAGTTATATAAGAGAGGAGAATATGATTTTGGTGTGAAGAATGAGGGAGGGTTGAGGGGGTTTATATAGGGGAGGAGGGGTAGTTAGGGAAAACGGATGGGGGCATTTATGGCATTTAATGGAAGGCACGTCCCCGGGGATGCGCTTTCCACACGTGGCAGTCGAGTCAGTGAAGGCGCGTCCCCGGGGATGCGCCTTCCACACGTGGCATCCAACTCAGTGAAAACACGGGTAAAACGCGTCCCCGGTGACGCGCCTTTCGCCAGCTCAGCCGAAAGGTTGCCACTTCGAAAAATATATATTAAACGGTGCTAAAAAGGTAAAAAATCGTTAAATATGTGTCAGTTTGGTCAAATCGCCCTAGAACCCGAGGAAGATGCACTCCTCAGTCTCTTTCTCTCTCTAAAATTGATCCATATGAACATGAAATGGTTATATATAGTGTTGAGTGTTTATTACTTTATTTATCCCTCCGCAGGTTCTGGAGCAGCAGGAGAGAGGCTTGGCCGAGGAAGGTCCCACGGGGATCGATGGTGCGGAACCTGTTCGGGTCGAGGGCGAGTGAACGGTACGGGTCCGACATGATATTGATGGAATCGAGGGCTGTGACTAAAGAAGGGGACGTGTTCAATGAGTTGCTGAAGCAGGCGAGTGCAGCCTTGCACAACTCGTACGCGAGGAAAGGGTTTCCATACACGGCGTGGGAAGTGAAGACTCTGATGATTCAAGGATTGGTGACGGAAGGTGCGGCGGCTCGCCTAACCAAACGCTTTTCTGTTGCCAATGATGCTTGTATTTAGTTATGCTGCTCGGCAGGGATTTAAATAGCGGCCCCTTATCGTAATAACGCTCGTGATATTGTGGAAACGGTTTGCTCTGTGTATAAGGCCAAAGGGGAAGATAGTACTGTTCTCCAAGGTATTTAAGGCCTATTGGGAACTTAAACTTGTTGGTGTACTAGTTTCACTCAAAATCAGCCTTAGCTCTCCATGTTTTTGCTCAACTCAAATGGTGCATATGGTTTCTTTTTGGCTTTATTATTGCCCTCAAATTATATTTTTCTTAGCTGATTAATTTTTTCTTAAAAATATATGTATGATATTTTATAAGATTGATCTATTATTTTTATTAAAAATGTTATTATTTTTTAAAGTGCGTTTAGTTCACGTAATGTAAAATTACATATGGGAAAATCATTATTGGAATGTAATATTACTATAAAAATATTGTATTATCTTGTTTAGTTTGTTTAGTATGAATGTAAGATTTCAGTGTTTGGTTAGAGGAATATAAGATTATTTAGATGTATATTTTATTAAATTATCCTTATGAGATATGTTTTTGTAAAGTTGAACTTTAAGGGTGGTTTGGTTCACGGTACTCATGGTTATCAGAGGAATGAAATTCTCATTTTTTCCGTTTGATTGGCCGGTAATCTTATTTCCGATAATCTTTTATTACCAACAGTAGATTTTTTTGTATATTACCGGGAATGTGATTACTCCATTCCTTTAGGTATTGTTGGATTAACGGCGTTTTATATTAAAATGTCCTTATTTTTTTTTAAATTATCATTCTTCTGTCGTTGAATAATAAAAATTCTAGGAAGGTTAAATAACAAATTTATCTTTAAACTATTTTAAATTTACAAAAAAGAATTCATAATTAGAATTTTATATGAAGTTCAGGGGTTAAAATAAAATTTTACCATTTCATTAAACCTATTTATCTTTTCAATTTTGTAAAAAAAATTATATTAATTTTATGAATTTAAATGTTTTTAAAAAATATATAAATTAATTATAGTAATATTATAGTATAATTCAACTTGTTAAAAAACAAATATATAATAAGGACAATTTGGTAAAATATACATTCTAATAATCTTTTATTCCTTTAACCAAACACGGAAATCTTACATTCTTACTGAACCAACCAAACAAAAAATACAACATTCACAATAATCTTATTCCCTGATAATCTTTTATTCACACTGGTAATCTTACATTCCGTGAACCAAACACATCCTAATATTAAATTATAAATATTTGAATTAAAATTTATAAAAATTATTTTAATCGTTATACTATCTAACTTTTGAGAAAAAAATACATTTAATATATAAATAATATAATTAGTCTATCAAACTTATATTTTTAAAATAATTTTCATAAGTATGATATTTATCTATATAAAACATAATATAATATGAAAAAAATAATATTATCATAATGAGTGAACAAATATATTGTTTTTCAATATATAAGATCCATTTTTTAATAACTAAAAGTTAAATATCATTTTAAATAATTACATTTTTACAATAATATTATTTTTCATCCCGTAAAATTATAAATAATTGATATATTGAATATTAAAAATATTATATATTTTTAAAATTCTCAATTTTATTATTATTTTAATAAATCAAACGCTTTATATATTATTATAATATTTATAATTTTGAGTAAAGCATAAAAAAATAAGAATAGAGAATAATCATTATAAAAATAATTCATCATTCCAAGAGTATTCTTGTCAAAAGTGGTAAGAATTGTGTAATACATAAGAATTAGAAGGTAATGATATTCTCACTATTTTAGCAAAACAATGTTACTATTAGGAAAGAGTATTCATCGGTAATAATCTTTTTCGGGAACTAAACATGAGAATGTAATTCCGGAAAAGATTATTCCCTTAGTAATGATCTTTTCCGTGAACCAAACGTTCCCTTAGGGTAAACTATACAAATGGTCATAAATATTTGAGTAAATTTTCGTTTTACATATTCAAATTTCAAATGTAACAAATTAATCACTAATGTTATCGATTTGTAACAAAATATCACTCCATCATTATACTCCATCGTTATATTCAATAAATTGATGATGTGACAATACTAACAAAAATGTTAATATTTAATTTTACCACTAAAATATTAAATAGATACTTAAATAATGATTTTATAGTTAATTTATCCCAAAACTTTCTAATTTAGTTTTTTTTTTCAAACACACTACCGTCTCCGCTATATTCGTGAATTAATACAAGCCCAATATGGAGAATACGCGTGAGGATTTCATCTAAAGCACCGAAAGTATTGTCGTATTGACTAAAAATTTGAACATTATTTTGCAAAGAACCTAAGACCCAAGATTTGCATTGAACTCCAGTCTCCCCCACTCAAAATAAGAAACACCACCACCATTCGTTGGCCATAAACAAAGTCGTCATCATCATTGTCTGAGTCTCTTATAATATTCCATCAGGAGTATCAGGGAAACCCAAGGATAAAAGGAGTAGAAAAAATCGAAACTCCCATAGAAAGTGCAGCTCCAATGCTAACTCTACCAGAAGAAGCTCCATTTACAGAGGAGTCACTAGGTTTGTTGTTCAAAATCTTCGCCAAGCTTGCTTTTTCAAAGTTGATAATGAACAGTAGGGAGTGCACCATTCCTTAATTTGAAGTAGATATCACAAAGATAAAAGGCGGTCTTTTCATATATTTCTTCACTCTTCCTTCTTCTTCTTCTGTCTCTGTTTCAGCGTGCCCAAAACTGCAGAAAAGCTCGGTGCTTGAAGTGAAAAGAAATGGAAGTTCTCACAATATTTTTCACATCTCTTTTCCCTGCTGGTAGCGGCACAATCTACACGCAACAGTACAGATCAATGATTGGACAAATTGCAACAATGGCTAACTGATGACTGCATTATTCAGCTCAGGTAAATTAGATATAAAATCATTTTAAACTATATATATATGATGTTGTAGTAGTTTAGGGGTAAAACTAAATGTTAACCTTTTTGTTAAGAGAAAATAACCTCAGTGACCAAAAATCTCATATAATATACGATTTTAACCAACTTTTTCCGGATTTGCCAAAATGACCAATAAAATCGCAATGCGATCGCTAATTCGCAACGCGATCTCCATTATCGCAAATTCGCGTTGCATTTCGCGTTGCGATAGTTGAAAATCGCGTTGCGATGGTCTACAGTATCGTTGCGATTTTCCCAATTCGCAATGCGAATAAGTAAATCGCAACACGAATTGGGAAAATCGCAATGCGATACTGACTATCGCAATGCGATACTTACTATCGCAATGCGATAATACAAAATCGCAACGAGATACTGACTTTCGCAACGCGATTCTGACTTTCGCAACGCGATTTACATAGCGCCATTCGTATTAACGCGTATTTTTTTTTTCAAATTCTAAACACGAATTTTTTTCTTAATAAATCGGAAACTGAACCGTCCACAGTAATCGCAACTCATAACCTCAAACCCAAAATCACAACACTCAGTCCCATCTCCATCTCTCACTCTCTACGGCGAAATCCGTCCCCATCGCCGGTGAAATCCCTCACAACCATTCACAGTCAAAAATCCCTCACAATCATTCAGAAATGAAAAATCAACCTCCGAGGGTTAGTTTTGTTTTATTTTGAAAATTTTGCATTATTTTAGGTTTTTCATATTGAGATTGATGATAAGTTTACTGGTAATTTCAATAATAGATTAACCATTTCACTTATATTTCTTATTAAATTCATTCGATTGCTGCCAATACTGCTAAACTGTTTAGCCTGTGAAGTTAGTATTTGTCTTTGTTTTGTCTTTTGGTTGAAGTAATGCAGAAGAAGAATAGTTTCGAGAATGAAAATCGCAACGCGGAAATAACTATCGCAACGTGAAATAAAAATCGCAACGCAAAACCAAAATCGCATTGCGATTTTCATTTCGCGTTGTGATTCTCTCGTTGCGATTTTCATTTCGCGTTGCGATTTTCATTTCGCGTTGCGATTCTCTCGTTGCGATTCTCATTATCTCGTTGCGATTTTCATTTCAACCAAAAGACAAAACAGTGTTGCAAATTTTAGTTTCAAGAATAAACTACTATTTATGTTTATTGTTTTTGGTATATCTTGACAGTGTAGTTTTTGGTATATCTAACTTGGTATGTTTATTGTTTTTGTAGAAATTTTTTTCGGCTTCATTGACATTAAGGAATAAAGTTAGCCTAGCCACTACAATTGCTTCGAAGCTTTCACCTGCACAAAGAAAATTGTTTGAGGAAACCTGCTTCGGGCCATGGCTGAGAGTACAGCATCCGGGTGGAGATGCTAATTTGACCCATTTGTGGCTTCAGACCGTGACTAGCGATCTACCCGACAGTATACAACGTGGTGAGGAAGAGATATGGTTTCATTTTCCACCGGCGTATACTTGTTTTGGGCGGAAGGAGTTCTGCTTAATCACTGGTCTACGATTCGGACACGATGATGTAGGCCGGTACACTCGTCATATCACCCGCCCATCATGGTTATCTAGGGTTTTTCCTGATGAGTCAATAGAGAAGCCGAACTTACACGTCGACGACATAAAGAAATTGTTTAATAAGAAAGATGATTTTACTCAGATGAATGACGTCGATGTTGTCTGAGTATGCCTTCTACTACTTTTGTATGCTGGCTTTTTAGGCAGAGAGGCCAGACAACCTATTCCTCATGAGCTAATATTATTGGTAGAGGACCTAAATGCATGGAATCTGTTTCCGTGGGGTTCGTATATATGGAAAGCTACCTGGACTAAGTTGTCGTCTGCCTTTGATGACCGCAAAAGTTTGCGGGGCGATGGGTCGAAATACACTTTGTCAGGCTTTGTTTGGGCCTTTAAGGTAAGAATTTCTATATAATGTTTTCAAAATTATAATTAATTATTTAACAATTACTAATGTTTGTTATTATATTGTTTGTAGATTTGGATATTCGAGGCCTTTCCCGCCATGAAGACA